TATGACGAAAATGGTAGAAAACTAAACTTTTTTACTCTAAAATAAATTCGATTAAAAGAAAAAAGCAATTAGCATCAAGATTTATGTAATATACTTAAAGCATGTATCAATTAAGCATAACGCTTATTTTAAACCGGATTAATCGAGGACCTAAATGCATACAAAACATAAACCGTATAAAGAGAAACTTGACTGTATAAAGAAAAAAAACACAATAATTTTTGCATAAAAAAATAAGTTACTTTTGAAATTTTCATAGTGAATCCGGACTGTTTGAAGCCGCACTGTGCGAGGTAATGCTGTAGTTTACTTTAACTGTTACAATACGACGAAAATGGTAATAAACTAAACTTTTTTACTGTAAAATAAATTCGATTAATTGTAAAAAAAAGCAATTAGCAGCAAGATTTATCTAATATACTTAAAGCATGTATCAATTAAACATAACGCATATTTGAAACCGGACAAATCGAAGACCTAAATGCATACAAAACATAAACCGTACAAAGAGAAACTTGACTGTATAAAGAAAAAAAACACGATAATTTTTCATAAAAAAATAAGTTACTTTTGAAATTTTCATAGTGAACCCGGACTGTTTAAAGCCGCACTGTGCGAGGTAATGCTGTAATACTCTAAAATAAATTCGATTAATTGTAAAAAAGAAACAATTAACAGCAAGATTTATATAATGTATCAATTACATTTAATTACTGTTCAATGGTTAACGCATAACGATTATTTGATTAAACGCATACAAAACAGAAACTGTACAAAGATAAACTTGACTGTAAAAATAATAGAAAACACGATAATTTTTGCATAAAAAAATAAGTTACTTTTAAAATTTATATAGTGGATCCGGACTGATCGAAGCCGCACTTTGCGAGGTAATTTTGTAGTTCAATTTAATTGTTACAATACTACTAAAATAGTAAAAAAACTAAACTTTTTTATTCGAAAGTAAATTCAATTTAATGTAAAAACGAAAAGCAATTAACAGCATGATTTATATAATATACTTAAAGTATGTATCAATTACATATATTTACTTTTCAAAGGTTAAAGCATATTCATGTAACACAAGCATGTGATCTGTTTGTGATTACTTATTTTTCCTCCCTTCGAGCAAATCAAGCGGGTCGCGAGAATAAGATTTCCCTTTAAGCGACTGAAACAATTACGCAACGATTCGGCTAATCCAATTTGCTTCGCCCCCTCCGATTCCGATTAGGTAAAAATAACGAGCGACAACTTCGAACCCTCACTCACCTTTATTTCATTTTTATCTTCTCATTTATTTATTTTTTTCGCGCCGCCAAGAAAATGACGGCAAAGTCCAGGTGAAAACTCGAGTATTCCAATTATTAATCAGCAGTTTCCACCTCGTCCCGCACGTGAATTCATTCATTTAACTCATTTAGTAAAGCCAATAAATTACGTTAATTAAACTAAATGAATTACAAATATTGGTTTTAGCTAGTTCGATATTATAATTATTACTGATACACGTTAGTTGCCATATTAATACAATTTTATTTTATTTATTTTTTTTGTATCCAATAAAGTCCATTATTAGTAATAAAGCTGTAATTCGTGTTCGGTCGCATCGAGCAAATAAAGCAATATGTTGAGTTATGTCTAGCTGTATTTGTTCGCTGATAATGCGGAAGATTTTTTTTTGTATTTCGCGCCGTACTCGCGCATTCAAATGCAATTAAATGATCGACGAGGCCGTGGAAATTAATCCGATTATTGTTGATTTCCCACCCTTCAATTGAAAAAAAAACCGTTTATTTTCTTTTCTTTCTTTCATTCCATCATTATTTGGTGTCTGTGTTATTGGCTGCGAAATCAAACATTTCCGCGCAATTTTCCGCTCCGCTTTCCCTATTTTCCTCCGTCTCTTTCCCACGCACGTTCGCAAATGCAGATCCGAGGTATTTGTCTTAGTCCCTCCTGCATCGTTAACTCCGCTCAAATTTACATTCCCAGTTTTATTTGTGTTCAATTCAGTATATTTAACCCTGCGCATCTATATTTTCAACACTATTACGTTAACTAAATATAGCAAATTTACATAATTCAATCAAATCTCCTAAGATTTCATTACGAGTCTCAAATTAATACGATTAAAAAGCAGCAAAACTTATTTAGTAGTAAAAATAATTTGTTTTTAACATTTATTTAAATAAAACTTCTGAAATTAATTAAAAGTTCAAAAATATAAAGAAGTTATTTTAAAACAGATTTTAATAAGAACATTTCATCAGTGTTTGTAAATTTAATAAAATATTTCAGTATTTTGTTATATTTAAAGTTCTGATTAAAGAATTTAACACGAAGTAATAGGCGTAATAGGATCCAAATTATTGGACTAATATATTTATGCAACCAAATGTACACTAGTCGTGTAGTGTCTACGTCAATCTGGGTGGCGCGGACTATTGCCAGAGACGCCAAATTTTTTTAATAAATTAATTTTTATACCATAATATCTTGAAATAAATAAAACGTGTCTATATTATTTAATCTATTAAAACAATAAAAGATGCGGAATTTTTTTTTTCGGGGAGGCGTAGTAGCATATAGGTTGGAAACCGCTATTTGACAAATAACTTATACTAGTATTTGTGAAACTTGTATTTTTTAAATTGAAGTTTAAGATTAATCGAAAAATAATTGAACAAAAACTATTGTATTGTAATGCATGAGTTAATTGTAATTCGTTTGTTAAACTCTTCCATTAACCAACAGGCTTTTAGATTTCTAATTAAGTTTATGTCTTCTTCTTTTATTAAACCTGCAACAAACCTTCTTTTATTAAACCAGCAACAAAATTAATATTTTGTAGCAAATGTTATGATGATATTGAATTCTGACAACGTGGGTCCTTTAAATAACCTATATCAAATTTGTTATTTGTTATCTTAGGACTGATATCAGAGATCACTTCAACAATTCACTGAAGATTAAAGAAACTAGATTAAAGTCAGTGTATTTAATAGTATTTATTTAACACTTAGATGCTTCGGTGTTGCAATCTAGCTTCCAGTTGCTACAAGCATAGGTTGCTGGCTAAGAGTAGAGTAAAACTAGAACTGTTACTAGGACTAGGTTTTTCCTAGGACTCTCCAAGTAAGACCAACTTCTCAGATCGATTTCCTCTCTTTTCTGTCCCCCTGACTAAGACTAAATATATAATACAAAAATGTGTTCATTTCAAAAAGGGGCTGCGTAGGAGAAAATGGTTTGACCTTGTGGAAAATACAATCGTTTCTTTATCTAAGTTTTATGATTCTTCCCAAATATTTAGGGGCTGAAGACGGCTGTTGAGTAGTGATAAAATAAACTATGCGATTTACAATAAACGAGAATAAAACACACTACATGCTCCTACAACAAAAAAATGCAAGGAAGATCGAAATAAGCATCACTATAAACAATATAAGCATAAAAAAGTAGAACAAGAGACATATTTGGGAATACTATTGAACAACAAACTAAGTTGGGACGACCACATAGGCTTACAAAAAAAAATGCTACGACAATTGGATGTGTGAAAAAAATAAACAAATTTCTCCCAGACAAGTGTAAGATGGCAGTGTACCATAGTATGTTTACCTCTAAGATGTGCTACGGTGTAGCGGTGTGGTTAAACACAACAAAAGAAAACATAAAAGCATTATCAAGACAACAAGAAAAGCTACAAAAAAAATATGTTTTCAAATAGCCGTGACACGCAGATACCAGATGTGGGGACACTGATAGAGGCACAGACAAGAGGCACAGCGAGAGGAAATATTAGAATGGAACAAAATGCAACCAACATAATAAACAGAAATAAAAAGAGAAAATGACATAAAGAAGTTTAAAACAAAAATGATGTGTTGGATGCGGGGTCGCGGAATGAAGATATAGAACATGGTAAACCAACAAGCCCGCTCAAAATACCGGTTCCAAGGAGCGTACCGAAAGAACCGAACCTGAGGGGCATACACATAAGTAAATAATAATAAAAATGTATAAAAAAATATTGTAAAAATTGTATATAAATAAATAAATAAAAAAAATAAAATAAATAATCATGTACAAGTATCCGTTTGTATATTTGATGGATACGTTAAATAAGCTTTGTAATAATTAAGAGGAAAGTGGTAGACATAACAAATATACATATTAGTTATACAATAGATGATAATAAGTTGGTCGGCCACGACAGTATACTCCAAATATTTCAGAAACTGTTGTCGTGTCCTTGGATTAAGAAATCCTTGGACATCGTGGATTATCTCGAAGTTACGTAGTTGTGGAGTCTTAAATGGGTTTGTGAATATTGAATTCCATATTCTTAATTATATTTATTATACATATCGGAGTTTTATTGAAAAGTCAACTATACAATAGTTGATCTCAGGGATTATTACTAAGAGTTACATTCTCCTCTTAAGTTAGTTGGACTCTCCCAAGTAAAATCATGTTGAGTGGTGATAAACTATGCGATTTAATGAGTAGCCGTCCTTCAAAATATTCCACAAGTTATTCTAAATAATCAATTACAAGTATTCGTTTGTATATTTGATGAATACGTGAAATATGCTTTGTAATAATTAATAGGAAACTGGTAGACCTAACAAATATACATATTAGTTATACAATAGATGATAATAAAATGGTCGGCCACGACACTGTGACGTTATTTTATAATTATAGTTAAAGATAGATGTAAAGAAGTTGTATAAACAAAGATACAACATTTTTATTTTAAGTTTAATTACTTGATGTTACATAAATCATTGTTTGTTTGCACTAATTGGATTAATTCAATGAGATTAACAATCTAACTTTTGATTGTCTCTCAAATTTCTTTTTACATTTTAAATTTTGTAATCCAAGGACAACTCAAAAAATCGCGTTATTAGCGATCGATTTGTCCAACTTAATATTATGCGTTTTCATCTTGAAATGTATATTAAAATAATAAATGCATTTTGCAATAGGGTGAAGGAATAGCAGGATTGGCAGCAGATGTATCCTTATTTCCATTGGATATGTTAAAGACAAGGTTGCAGGCGCCGCAAGGATTCAAGAGATCCGACGGATTCAATGATGCATTGGTCCTCAAGTTCTTGGAAGCGCTCCGCAAGGTTCGATGAATTCGTGCATTATAGAATGACTAATTGAATAATTGTAAAATATTGCAACCGCTCTATTCTTCTGCACATACGAATCTGTTAAACACTTTGCTCCGCCGCACGTGTCCAGTTAAGCGTTACCTTTGGTACACATGCTTGGAGCTTCTCTGGGAGAAGAGATATTATACCTCCTAAGATGTTTATGAAATTCGCATCTAATTATGCATCATTTTTCATTGGTCGCTTGCATAGTGAGGATCCCTATGGAAGTTGTAAAACAAAGAAGACAAACCAGTTCTAGTCACAATTCGTCTTGGAAAATAGCATACGACCCTTATAGTAAAGAAGGATTATTCAAAGTAAAAAAAAATAACTCAGATTTGGTGTATTACTGCTTTCTAAATTTACCGTTTTAGGGTTTATACAGAGGTTTCGGTTCTACGGTGCTACGAGAAGTACCATTCTCGTTCATTCGATTTCCCATTTTGGAGTACTTCAAGAACGTGTACAGGATAAAACTGATAAATAATATTAATTTGGAACCGTGGGAAGTCGCCAATTGCGGCGCTGTAGCAGGTTTTACATCCAAATTTGGATTGAAGGATATATTCGACTTGAATAGAAATTGCAATAATCAATTATTATTATTGCTTATTATAAAACCTATAGCACTTTTTCCTATCAAGTATAGAATTGAATGAAAATTTCAATATGTTTCCCACAATTGTTATAAATTGCTTCAATATCATTAAAAAGCTTTAGCTTTATAGGCAACAATTACAGCACGTCTATTTAAATTACTATCCATTACTATCCTAAAAAGTTGAATTTACAAGAATTCAGTACAAGCTAGAAAAAGGATGGCCTAAAATAACTTATGTACCCTGTTTATAAAAATATCACATCTCACTATATAATCATCACTCTCTCCATCTATAACATTAGGTAGCAACTAATCCACCATTCCGAGATTCCCACTAATTCATAATTGTAGGATTATAGGAACCGCGATCCGTATCTAATATCTACATACCATGTACCATTGCGACCGAAGAGATACCGGGCCGAATTTTTCCAGGATTATGAATCCTTCATGACACATTAGTTTTGCAGAGGTCTCTGCCTGGCCTTCGCTTACATCGTATCCAGATGTTGTTTTTGTTTTCAGTGTTATTTATTTTATAAAAAAAAGGTTAGAACTTTTATGAAGTTGGAATGAATGCCCTGTAAACCTTAGCTCTTTCGGTATAAGTGACACCTGAGGTCTAACTGGGTCTAACAGGATACGGCAAATTTAGACACTTTTATTTTGTTTCCTTTAGGTTGGTTACAGACATTTTTTCAAGGATTGGGGAGAGTAGAAGGAGAAGAAGCGGATGAATTCGGAACAATTCGTAAATTTAAAATTATCCCTGCTCAAAAAAAGGTGAGATGACCATTGCCAACGAATTCTCGGCGATCCTTAACAAGTTTATTTATGCTTTCTTGCATATAATAATATTTGTTGCTGCAGCTTATCTCCCTCGTTGACAACTTCTGTTTTATGTTTTAATATATTATTTATACAACTTAAATATATACAGAAAATTGTATGTGCAGCATGCTCCGATGTACCTTGTATATATGTATAATGTATATTACTTAGAAATGACAGTTTTTTTTTAAATTGTCAATAACAAATTTGAAAAAACACTACCACCAGCACACTACCATCAAATTTTGTTTCTCGCAAAATAAAAAATTGAAAGGTTCAGATTGATTCCAATTTCATCCGAAATTTCTTCTCTCCTATGCCTTTTAAATGAATCGTACCAACTGTCCTCGAAAAACCATATTCACTTTGGCCCCCTACCACTGGGGGCAGGGCTAAAGACGAACGTCACCGCGGGCACTTGCAGTTGCTAGTTAATAAATTCGTCGTTGGGGGAACTAGAAAAATAAATCCGTTAATACCAACGTTAAACCCCCGCGCATATACTCCATCTTCACAGATGCCCAAAGTGCACATACTCCATCAACAAAGATGGTCCACGTCCTATATTTCATTCTCATAGATGGTTCACGTTTACTCATGTTTGAACCATCGAGTCTAAATAAATAATATTGATTGTTACTTACTTGCTGTATTCTTGACAATAGCGAAATAAAAATGGGCGAAATAAAACAAACTTACGGATAATCATGGATAACTTGATAAAGTTTTGTAATCGTGAAACAAACGTCTCGAGTTCAACCGATTCGCTCTAAAAATCACTAAAAAAATCTTCATCTCTCTAAACTCATAGACAAGAGGTTAATACCAACTGAAAATAAAAGGACTAGATTTGCCCTATCTTGTGCAAATTATTTCAGCTATCTAAATCATAAATGTTTTCTGATTAACTATGTGCAACTGCGTCATGTGACTTTTTCAGGAAAAAAAAAACAGAAAAAAAACTACTTAAAAACAATATTTATCATTGGTTGCTACAGAAAGTTAGCTATCTTTCAACGTTTAACTACAAATTATTAAAAATCAGTCCTCGAGTTCTGCTCCATCCAGCAAGTAAGTATTGCAAAGATTCTTTGAATAGTCATACATTCCGAAGAAAATATAGCCTCCCACCGTAATCCACATAACTCTGGGCACGAAACCTGCAAATAATCTGAAAAAAAAGTATAACACAATCAATATAGGGAAATTCATAAATATTTTTTAACGATATGTCATAACAAAATTAACACTAGAAACCAGTTACTTTTGCTATTTGAGTGCCCTACAGATCCGAATTGAGTTCGGCGTCATAGTAGTTCCGTTACATAATTCTGAACGGTGGCAATCGCAATTGATTATGATTCAGAAGTATTAGAATTAGTGTCGTCCCCGCAAAATATAATTGGGGCCCTTTCACATTGTTTTTTATTTACATAATTTTTTATAATAAATATATTTAGGGTTATAGTCAATAGTCCTTTTATTTTTTATTTTCATGTAAACTCCTTATATAGGATATATTATGCAAACGTTCTTTGCCTGTTGAATAGCAAAAATATTTTATTATTTTAGCTAATTTCGTAGGCGTAATTTCGTAGGCAATGCGTATCGTTTCCTTTCACGTGACTTCTAAATGACTAAGATCGACATGAGTAATGTTCTATTACACGGTGTCCAGGATATACCATCACTGTTACTATTTTATTGTGAAACTCTGCAATGTTCGTTAATAATAATCTGAAAAAAAATTGTTTTTTTGAATAGATTTTCATTACAAAGAAGATCATCATCATTAGAGATGATTTTTTTATTGTGATTGTCTTCGAACTGGTTTAGTTACAATTGGTTTAAAAACAGTTAATTTTGGGATTTAGGTATGTACAATTTTTGTCTTTTTAGCTTCCATTTTTACTGCAAAGGTCTAAGCTTTTCTTTTTTCTATTTTTATCCCTTAGAATCTTTGAAAATCATTAACTGGATTCAATGGACTAAAAAACTAATCTGAACTATATATCTAACGTTCACGCAAAGCATATATACTAATTAGTAGATTTGTTTAGTAATTACACATATATGTTTATAAAAGAATATTATATTGCGGGATTGTGCGATTCGACGGCACCACCATTCTTCATAAATACTTGATAACATAATCTAATATTTACAGCGTTCGCAATCTCAAGTTCGTATCCTTCTATCACGATGAGTTGCTCCAACAGTCACTACGATTACATCCCTGAGTATATGAGAGACACATTTAAAGATATAGCTGATAATTTAGAAGTGAATTTGTTGCGGGTGAGTTACACACTATAATGATAATAACTGCAAATCTGAGCATATGAATTTCAGCTAATCAATGACGAATTCAAACGCAACGAGCGAAGATTTAAGCCTGTCGATTTTGAGCCTGTTGGCATTGCAGACACGGAGAAAATGCTCAGATTGGATAATATCAGATTGTGCAATTGGCCTGGACTAGAGCTGGAGAAGTGCACAGTGGATTGGAGAAATGTCCACCTGAATCTGGATATGAAAGTTGGCCGTATATTCATGGATGCAGAGTGTTACACCACAAACTCGAATGGAGAGGAGTCTTTTGAAGGCGTTTTTAAGTAAAATCCAAATTGCTTGAATTTTCCATTCATTTTATTGAAATAACAATATTTTAGATTTTCTATTGATAAAGAGTCGACATTCAAAATTTACGTCGGTCTTAAAAGTGAAGATGATTCGCTTATTCCCATGACATATTACTATGAGCTTAATTTTGATTATAGTGAGATTGAAGTGATTTCAGAGTGTACTAAAGAATTGGATAAAGGTGCTATAACTAATTCATTGACTGATGACCTAAGTTTAGTAATGTAGTTTTTTCCCTATTTTCTTTATATAGAACAACTGCAATATTTCATTAGCGACAATATCAAATCATATATGCATAAGATTATCAAGGAGACTGTTGATGGTGAAGTTGTGTCGTTCTCCTACAGCGAACTGTTCAATGACGAACCAGATATTATGACAAAGTACCAAAACGACAGAATGTCGAGTGATTTAACAAATTTTCTCGATTCTGTGCACAGGGACAACAAAGAAAAACATACTATTCCATTCCAGTATTGCTTGAAGCAAGACAGGTTTTTGATCATGGCTAGTGCCCCTGAAGTAATAATGGATTTGACTTTATTACATCGTGGCGAGTACGAGAGTTTCAGAGTCGAAAACGACAGATCTATTTTCTGCTCGGATGGCGATATATGTAACATCCATGTACGTTTTGTTTAGCAGAAATCATTATTATTTTAATTGTATAATTGTTTCAGTGCTTGTTCAACATTATCTGCGACAATGGTAAGAGTCACAAATCGGCCACTTTCCTCGTAACTCCTCTGCGCACCAGTATATTCGTGGGATTCGAACCTCCTTCTCCTGGACGTGGGCCTTTTGGTAATACGCACATAAGGGAAATCACGTAAGTGTATATACTATATATTGTCAAGGCCGTGTGGAGCTAAGAAGCAAATAGGCGCGCGGCACTGTAAGGTCATCATTACAATAAAATCAAAGGTTATGGCATGTTCAACATTATCTGCGACAAGGTTAACAGTCACAAAACAGCAACTTTCATTTTAACTCCTCTGCGCACCAGTATATTCGTGGAATTCGAACCACCTTCCCCTGGACGTGGGGCAATTGGTAATTCGAACATAAGGGAAATCACGTAAGTGTATATGCTATATATTGTCGGGGCCGTGGGGAGCTAAGAAGCAAATAGGCGCGCGGGTCTTCAGGTCATCATAAAAGTAGAATCAAAGGTTATTTTAAAACAACGTTCATGCATAACTTTGTTTGGATTTCGCTCACAGAAAAACAAATTACAAGTATATAGACATAGTATTTCAAAATTGAAGCAATGGTAGGCGCTAAGGTAATATGTTTTTCAATTGATGCGTAGTAACAAAAAGACGCTGTTTTAACTCTGTCTGGGGCGGTGGAACACGCATTGTACCACCTTTTGAATATTTCTAGTTGGGCAAAAGAGAGTAAATCAATGTTTTTTTTTTAGCGATTTCATGGTTGAAGAAGACTGGGGTGATGATTTACCGGAGGAGTGGGTGAAAGATAAGGTCTTGCCGTACATGAAGACGTACTTGAGAACTTATGTAGCTTTGCTTTGCTGTAAAGCCAATGATTATTTCGAAAAGTGGTACCGTTAAATTTATGTACCAGGTACCATGCTCTGTAGCTTAATTATTATATATATATTTTTTAAATTAAACATTTATATTAACTAAATTAGGAACTCCAGGTCAAGCTTTACACATCAGTGTTTCGAAAAGTAGTAATACTAAATTTATATATTAGATACCATTTTCGTGCAAGCTTTACACATAGTCAAATTAATGTTAAATAATAATACAATAAAAAAAACTTACCCTTTTATTCCGTTTTGTACATAAACCTCCTTCCAAACGGCTCCATATCTGAGCGACTGGTTAAGACTTCGCTCTGCCAACATGATTCTCGTTTTAACGACATCTAAAGGAGTCGTTAAACCAGCTGAAATTCCACCTACAAATTCAAGTTATTCGTTAATCCTTCAATCCAAATTTAGAAGTAAAACCTGCTACAGCGCCGCAATTGGCGACTTCCCACGGTTCCAAATTAATGTTATTTTTCAGTTTTATCCTGTACACGTTCTTGAGGTACTCCAAAATAGGAAGTTGAATGAACGAGAATGGTACTTCTCGTAGAACCGTAGAACCGAAACCTCTGTATAAACCCTAAAGCGCTAAATTTAGAAAGCAGTAATACACGAAATCTGAGTTCTTTTTTTTACTTTGAAGAATCCTTCTTTACTATAAGCGTCGTATGCTATTTTCCAAGACGAATTGTGACTAGAACTGGTTTGCCTTCTTTGTTTTACAACTTCCATAGGGACCCTCACTATGCAAGCGACCTACGCAAAATGATGCATAACTAGATGTGAATTTCATAAACGTCTTAGGAGGTATAATACCACTTCTCCCAGTGAAGCTCCAAGCATGTGTACCAAAGGTAACGCTTGACTGGACACGTGCGGCGATGCAAAGTGTTTAACAGATTCGTATGTGCAGAAGAATAGAGCCGCTGCAACATTTTAGAATTATTCAATTAGTCATTCTATAATGCACGAATTCATCGAACCTTGCGGAGCGCTTCCAAGAACTTGAGGACCAATGCCTTTATATACACCATTGAATCCGCCGGATCTCTTGAATCCTTGCGGCGCCTGCAACCTTGTCTTTAACGTATCCAATGGAAATAAGGATACATCAGCTGCCAATCCTGCCATTCCACCACCCTATTGCGAAATGCATTTATTATTTTAACATACATTTCAAGATATAAAACGCATATTCAGATGGACAAATCGATCGACAATAACGCGTATTTTTGAGTTATCCTTGGATTACAAAATTTAATATGCAAAAGAAAATTTGAGAAACAATCGAAAGTTAGATGAAGTACTTTCATAATATACAAAGAACTGTTAAAGTATAATATCAAAGATATCTGGCATCAAAGTTGGTATTTATACTTAATGGCTTAATAAATACGAAATATTTGTGTCTGTGGAAGATTATTTCATAACAGTTTATATAAATACTATTAATCATTCCTGTTTTATGAAAACCCTTACACGGAAACAGTTAAATAAAGTACAAAAACAATTATCCTGATTATTCTATCTACTATCTGTACAAAGTGCAGTAATTAAATTTGTTAATCTCATTGAATTAATGCAATTAGTGCAAACAAACAATTATTTATGTAACATCAAGTAATTAAATTTAAAATAAAAATGTTGTATCTTTGTTTATACAACTCGAAATACCTTTAACTAAAATTATAAAATAACGTCACAGTTTCTGAAATATTTGGAGTATACAAAGTTGCATACGTTAGATTAAGGCGAACTTAGCAGCAGCATAGAAATAAAGTAAATAAAAAGAATATATACTTATTCTAACAGAAAACTTACAAATAGGGATGATATATACAAATGTTTCTCCATGATGATGAATCTTCAGTGAATTGTTGAAGTGATCTGCGATGTCAGTCCGACGATAACCAATTTAATATAGGTTATGTGAATGAACGCACGTTGTCAGAATTCAATATCATCGTAACATTTGCTATAAAATGAGTAACCGTCGTTCGGAATATTCCACATGTTATTCTAAATAATCAAGTACAAGTATTCGTTTGTATATTTGATGGATACGTGAAATAATTTGTAATAATTAATAGGAGGTAGACCTAACAAATATACATATTAGTTATACAATAGATGATAATAAAATAGTCGGCCACGACACTGTGACGTTATTTTATAATTTTAGTTAAAGGTGTATTTCGAGTTGTATAAACAAAGATACATTTTTATTTTAAATTTAATTACTTGATGTTACATAAACCAGTGTTTGTTTGCACTAATTGGATTAATTCAATAATTTTGATTTTGAAAATTCTCGTTATTTTCGATCAATTTGTCCATCTTAATATTATGCGTTTTATATCTTGAAATGTATATTAAAATAATAAATGCATTTTGCAATAGGGTGGAGGAATGGCAGGATTGGCAGCAGAAGTATTCTTATTTCCATTCGATACGTTAAAGACAAGGTTGCAAGCGCCGCATGGATTCAAGAGATCCGGAGGCTCCCCGCAAGGTTAGATGAATTCCTGCGTAAAACAAACCAGTTCTAGTCACAATTCGTCTTGTAAAATAGCATACGATGCTAATAGTAAAGAAGGATTTTGCAAAGTAAAAAAAAAGAACTCATCTTTCGTGTATTACTGCTTCCTAAATTTAGCGTTTTAGGGTTTATACAGAGGTTTAGGTTCTACGGTGCCACGAGAAGTACCATTCTCGTTCATTCAACTTCCCATTTTGGAGTACCTCAAGAACGTGTATAGGATAAAACTGAAAAATAACATTAATTTGGAATATATACATTAATATGTACCATGTGTACTGTTTATCTTTGTTCTGTTAGTTTTTACAACCCGTCTAGGTCACTCAAAAGGAGGATTATGTAAAAGTCGGACAACCAACTATAAAAACTACGCCACGAATAATTAACCTTCCCAAACAATTGTAAGATTTATCACCCTTTAGACCTTATCGGCAGCGGGAGACATAAAAACTCCCGCAAGCGCCTATGACGTACACATGGCAAATTAGCCCCTACCCTTAGAATATTATTCTGTATCCAGTACGTCTTCTTACATATAAGACGACACTTTTGTTATTTTAAGTTAGTTCTAGTTTGATACTACTCCTGACCAGCAACCTATGCTTGTAGCAAGTGGAAGCTAGATTACGACACTGAAGCATCTAAGTGTTAAATAAATACTATTATGTACACTGACTTTAATCTAGACTTTTCCATAAAACCCACTAGGACTCCACATCGATAATACAACAAATTATTTCCAGAGATATTCCATCCCGGGACAAAAGTGCAAACGTAAAACCTAATTAATTGTAAACCTCATTAATTTTATGGAAGAGCCTGGTAATAAGTGTAATAATACTTTTATTTTCTTTAATTTTAAAATTTATTGGAATATATTTTTTTATATTTTTCCTATCATGAGTTCTATATTTGTTTTTATTTTTAATTATCAATTTATAATTATGTCTGAAATAACAGCTTTTGTTTTTATGATTATTTTTCCAAAAAGAATAGATTCTATAAATTCCGTCCGAAAATAAACAGTCGAGTCGAGTATCATTATGATTCACAACAACACAACAGACACCATGCGCTCATTCGCACTTCCTTCCAAAAATAAACAGTTAATAAATGAAGGTCTCCACCTAATTACATGTTAATATTATGCGTTTTATATCTTGAAATGGATGTTAAAATAATAAATGCATTTCGCAATAGGGTGGAGGAATGGCAGGATTGGCAGCAGAAGTATCCTTATTTCCAGCGGAAAATCGTTTCAAAATTCCCATAATATTGATGATTTAAAATTTTATCTAATGCAAGTTTTTTCAAGAAAAATTTAATATTTTGAGTTTAATTGAATTTTAATTAAGTAATTACGTTTCAACTTTAAGATTTTACGTTTTTCTAGTAAATGGTTACAGAAAACTGTTTTTAAGTTGACTTACGACGGTGCGAATTCGAGTATTACTGCCACCAAAATAATATGTCGATAGCGTAATCACTGATATTTTCAACAAGTACAACTAGACATACTAATACGTCACTTTGCGCAAAGAAACATACACAATCACAAACATAAATGGATTTCAAATAAACAACACGCACCAACCGCACTCGACGACTGCCCGAACCGTATCAAACCGTATTACGGTCGCTCTCGGTAGGGAGACCTAATTATATGTAAATTTATTCTTCTTCTATTTTGTATTTTCTTTAATTTTAAAATTTATTGGAATATATTTTTTTATATTTTTCCTATCTTGAGTTCTATATTTGTTTTTATTATCATTTTATAATTATGTCTGAAATAACAGCTATTGTGTTTATGATTATTTTTCCACAAATAAAACATTGTTGAAATTTAATTTTACAATCAAGTTTTTTGTTATTATTACTAATATCATTTATTTTCATTTTGCTGATCAAAATTTAAGTTACTTTCATTACATATATTTTCAAACATTTTTTATTCTAAATACAAATTATCTTGGAGAATTTGCTTTTTAATTTGATTTTCTTTATTTTCTGCAAATTTTTATGCATCTTCTATTGAGTCTAGATTTTTATTTGATACGAATTCCCTAATTACAGTTATAAGACCTAATTTAAAATATTCTATTAATTCCAGTTTTATTAATTCATCATGCTGTCGTGACCGACCAATTTATTGTCATCTATTGTATAACTAATATGTATATTTGTTAGGGCCATAACTTTCCTCTTAATTATTAAAAATCATATTTAACGTATCCATCCATACTTGTACGTGATTATTTAGAATAACTTGTGGAATATTCCGAAGGACGGTTACACATTAAATCGTATAGTTGCGTCTATTGCATCACCAGCTTTCTGCTGCCCTTAAATATTTGGATAGGATCATAAAACTTAGATAATAATAAACGATTGTATTTTCCACAATGAACACATTTTTGTATTATATAATTTAGTTAGGGCTAAGCTGTAGAACTGCGAGGAAGTCTTAGTCAGGGGACCGTAGAGAGAAGAAGTCCTACAATAATAGATTCTATAAATTCCGTCCCAAAATGAAGAGTTAATAAATGATTACGAGTTGAGTGTCATTAAGATTTACAACACTACAACAGGCACCAACCGCACTCAACGACTGCACGAACCGGTTTCTCGCTCTAGGCCAGCGGTCGGGGAATTTTAATGTATTTTCTATTGAGTCTTGTTATTGAAATCCCGACGTTCGCAATCCCGACATTGCAAAGGCATTGGTCATCAAGTTCTTGGAAGCGCTCCGCGAGGTTCGATGAATTCGTGCGTAATAGAATAACTAATTGAATAATTGCAAAATGTTGCATTCGCTCTATTCTTTTGCACATACGAATCTGTTAAACACTTTTCTGCGCCGCACGTGTTCAGTCAAGCGTTACACATGCTTGGCTTGGCGGTACACATGCTTGGAGCTTCTCTGGGAGAAGAAATATTATACCCTAAGATGTTTATGAAATTCACATCTAATTATACATCATTTTGCGTAGGTTACTTGCATAGTGAGGGTCACTATGGAAGTTGTAAAACAAAGAAGACAACGCTTATAGTAAAGAAGGATTCTTCAAAGTAAAAAAAATAACTCATCTTTCGTGTATTACTGCTTCCTAAATTTAGCGTTTTAGGGTTTATACAGAGGTTTCGGTTCTACGGTGCCACGAGAAGTACCATTCTCGTTCATTCAACTTCCCATTTTGGAGTATCTCAAGAACGTGTACAGGATAAAACTAAAAAATAACATTAATTTGGAATATATAAACCGTTTTTTTTTTTTTGCAGTATTCGACATATTCATAAAGTTTTATTACCGAAAGCTATGCGAAACGTCGCTCTTTAAGCAATTATTTTTGCTCGTTATGCGAGGTTCCACTGTATTTATTATGAGCGTTCACTTTGACTACTATAATTGCTGTAAAAGCAAGACCATTATTATATAACGGGTGGCCAGACTTTTTGCAGCAAGAGCCACACCTAAACTTTTTAGTGTAATAATTTAAAAAAAATCTCAATCATAATATAAAATATATATAATATTTATATTTCTCGTGAAGAGCCGCATCCCCTGTTACAGTACATAAATAAATTATGTATAAAAAAAACCCCAACGAAGTCGGTACATCTATTATTATGGATGTTATTTTCGTTCCTAAATATCAATTACATTTGTATAGATTAAGTTTATTGATTATACAACATATACAACACTTATATACATTTATATATTAATATAAATATAAAATATCTGAGATTAAAAAAATGCTTTTAGACCAAACAAGCGGAAACGGTTTTCTTGACGACATCCCTTGCATAAGGTATATAAGACAAGGAGTACCAAGTCATAGCTGCAGATTGAAGAATGATGAACACCAATACCAAAACCGCTTTGTGCCACTAAAAACAAAAATTTATATAAATCAATAAAGAAAATAATTAACAACAAAGAAAAAACTATACTTTTATAGCAGCCACCAAGGTTAAGCAGAAAGTAACAATGACTAATATAGTGGCCAATGCTCGGGTGTGTGAAAACATCTTCTTCATCTGACTCACAGGACCCACCAGGAACAAAGTACTCGCAATCGAGACAATATTACCAAGGGTGTAAAACACAGCGAACATTGTGATTCCTCCCAAGAAAAAGGCAAAGGATCCTAAAAGAGTTAACAGGATGCCAACGACAAAGCATCCAATGAAACATTTAATTCTAGTGTTCCAACTGAGTGTTGCACTGTCTCGGAACTGCAATAAATGAGTTAAATTACAAAAACACATTGCTCACATATCAACATTGTGCATACTTGGGACATAATGTCGCGCTCTTCATCATCTTCGTCGTCTCCGCTCAAGGCTCTCCTCAGTTTATCCATGATAAAATGTTATTTTGCTCCAAATCTTTGTTTATAGATAAAAAAAATGTATGCTAAAAATAAACTTTGGATACTTGCAACAAGTAAAACCGATTTTACTACTTACACATTAACTTGTAATGACTGCAAGTGTGTAATTAAAGCATTATTTGCTTTCAACACCAGAAGTTTATTTAATCAACAGGTAGCAGCTCTTTATACCAAATCAACAAGTGACAACTTTGACGTACGTTAAAGTATATAACTGATTGCATACATTTTTATCAAAACTACATAATTTATTACTTTTTTTTAATATTTTATATTGAATTTACATGTTAATATACCAGGTTGAAGTACGCAGTTTATTCATTAACAAATCAATATGTATGTAAATAATAAAATAAACGACAAAGAAGTATAGAACATTTTTCTACTCATGTACATGCAACCAACTTTACACAGTTGTATAAATCTAAGAAGAAATTGTAGTTTATTCATAACATTATTGAACGAAATTGATAAGAATTTAGTTTATCTGGATTTAATATAGCAATCAACGATGATCAATAAGTCATTAGTTTTATTAAATTGTAGAAAATTAAATAATCCTTGTTTTGCAAGTAGTCTAACTTAAGCTAATGCTTTTATTAATTAACTAATTGGAAAAAATCTACATTAAAATCATGTAATTTATATTAATATATAAAATTAAAAAAAATATCTTATTTCAATTAGAATTAAACTAATTACAAATTGATCATTTTTTTAGCAATTCTTTTATTATATTTTTTTCAACATTTTTTACTTTTAGGAACCTATTAGAAATCTTTAGTATCAATATAATAATAATGAATTTTCTATACTATCATATTTGTTTAAGAAATTACATTAATTCTATGAAAATAGTCTGTTTTTTGTGGTAAAATTGAGTAAATTTGTTAACATAAATTAGATTTTTAACAAAAAATAAAGTTTATACAAATATTTGGTTTTGCCATAGGAAATAAATCAGTTTCTTAAAATTGAAATCATTTGATAAAGTACTGAATATTTTATCAAAATGAATAAGTAAATTTTAAATGCAAATGGAATAAAGTAAAGATGTTTTGAAACATTCTTGAAATAAGATGAAAATAGTTTGTATTTTGTGGTAAGATTGACTAAATTAATAGAATTTTTAATATAAATTATATTTTCAACAAAAAGTAATGTTTTACACATATAATAGGTTAAAAATATTTGATTTTGCCTTAAGAAATATATCAGATTCTTAAAATTGAAATCATTTGAAAAAGTACTGAATATTTTATCAACATAAATAAGTAAATTTGAAATGCAAATAAGAATAAAGTAAAGATGTTTGAAACATTCCTGAAATAAGATGAAAATAGTTTGTATTTTGTGGTAAGATTGACTAAATTCGTAGAATTATTAACATAAATTAGATTTTTAACAAAAAGTAAAGTTTTAACACATATCAAAGATTAAAAATATTTGATTTTGCCATAAGAAATAAATCAGTTCAAACGAACTCTTTGGAAGCGTACAGGAATACAATAAAAGCCTTATTTAGTGAAGATATTAGCTACCAACTGAAAAGTGAGAACCCTAGATGTAGATATCAAATCATTAAAAAATGTAATAGATCAATTTGGACACATTGTCATTAACATTCAAAACATACAAACTAAAGAACATAGACGCCTTCCGCTATTCTTTGTTGATATTAAACAATAAGGGAACAACATAAATATATTTAAAATTACAAAACTACTCCAACACGAAGTGATAATCGAAGCCCCAAAAAAGACATACCACAATGTAAATGTTGCCAGCGTTATAACCACACACGAAAATATTGTAACAACAAAGCAAGATGTCTAAAATGTGGCGATAATCATATGATTGCAGACTGTAAACAAAATAGATCCACACCAGCACGGTGCGTTTTATGTAACAATAATCACCTTTCAAACTACAAAAGATGAACTGTCTACAAGGAATTGCGCAAACAATTGTATCCGCCCTTAAGAGAGAAACATCTAAGAATTGAAAATAAAGTTATCAACAAAAATAACAGTGATCAACCACAGCAGCCATGTCAGCAACAACAGCAGTCAAAAACGAACCAGCTTCAACCAAATACTATCCAACAATAAAAGTATAATCATCCACCACAACAACAGCAGCAATACCAAATAACATTACCAGCAGATGCAGTAAAAGACGCAAAATTTTCATCACCTCCAAAAAACTGAGAACAAACCAAATCCTATCTCATCATACAACAAATAACGTATCTAATAAACACGTTCATGCTGAATATGCAAGCCTTAACACACCAACCAACTCAAGGGAACAAAAAAATCACCGAATAATGGGTCTTGGCAAACGTCTTCAAGAAATAAGAAACTTTATTAAATATAGAAAATTGATATACTTTTAGTTTCAGAAACGCACTTTTCACAGAAAATCTACTTCAAAATCATGAATTACACCATGTATAATACTAATCACCCCGATGGTACTGCGTTATCATCAAGAATTCGTTGAAGCATAAAGAATTTCCAAAGTAAGGACGCAGGCTTCTTATTGAAGACTGCTTCGGAGAAATTTCCATTTCCCAAAACATATCATCAGCGAACATTCCTGAAATAGTTTGTATATTGTGGAAATATTGAGTAAATTCGTAAAATTGTTTATATAAATTAGCTTTTTAACCAATAGTAAAGACTACACACATAATAGGTTAAAAATATTTCATTTTACGGTAACACAAAACTGAAATCTCTTGATGTATCTATCTTGATCTCTTGAAAGTATTGAAAGTATTGAATATTTTTTTTCATAATAACTTTTACAAAAAGTAATTAAATTTGAAATGGAAATAAAGTAGTGATGTTCGCAACATTCCCAAAATTTACGAAACTCCCATTGTTGTTGCTCCTGCTGCCCTGTCTAAAGAATTTGCAATGCAAGTGGAAGTGTCTTTGTGACGGTCCGTTGAAGATATTTAATACCATGCCCATCCATGTCTCGAATATTGTGTGGGACCGGTGAATTGAAGGATCGAAGAAGATATTGCCGCAATGCAGGTCAAGAATCCGCTCATTCTACTAAAACGAAATTCGCCGGAGGAAAAGTTCCACATATCGATTGCCAGCCAGAGCGACAGGTTCTGAATTCAATATTCGTTTCTGCTATAAACCTCTTCTTCATTTTTTCGCTCACTCTCTTCATCATCATCATCATCTCAATTCGAACAAATTAATTCATTGATTATACAACAACGCTCCAAAACGAATACGTACCAAGATACCAAAGGAAAAAAAAAAGAAATAGAAACTTAGAATGTTCGGTTTGAAACTCGTTTCGAAAATTCTATAAACGTTTTATTTTATTTTTTATTTATTTTTAGCGCAATAAATTAATTATGGTCGGAATCGGTTTTTCTCTATGGAAATAGAAAACGTAGTAACTGGGACGTCGACTATAAAAAATAAGAATAAAAAAATGTACAGAAAAATGCTGCATTTCTTCGATTCGTATTGTTCATGTGTCTAAGTTTACGTAACTGATTAATATTTAGTTGATTGCGTAATTCCTTAGTGATGGATATTCTGTAATTATGCATGGAACGTAATTAATAGAAAACCGCGCAAGACAATCACTTCTTAGTGTGCGTGTGTCAAGAGAAAACGACAGCTATTGTTATAATCGGAACGTGCGGCTTATATAATTCCGTTGTATTATTTATTTATAATTGTTACGTTCTAATCTAATTTAGAATGCTCGGACTGCTGGGGTAAAGGCGAGAAGGAAAGAAACAGATCGAGAGACAAAAGCTGCAAAAAAAAAATACCATTAACATATCCACTGGAATATTTTTCTAATTACTAATCACGTCAGTCTTCCTCGTAGAAATAAAAAAAAAGTGAAATTGTATAGAATTTCCTTTAAGAAATTTCCTTAAAGAATCTTCGAGGAAATGCGAAGAATACACACGAAAATAATGATGATGCTAATTGCGAGTTAGCGTTCGTGCAGTTAATTGTTAATTTCTGCACGCCCACACTTTTCTATCGCATCAATTCATTATGTTTGCACCTATTGTCGAATGTAAGACGTTGCGTAATTGAATGGTTGTGAAAGTCAGGTTATCATCAAGTTTATTATCCCGATTCTGCCGAATCTTGGTTGAACGATACAATGGATGGAAGTTCAGCAATCATCTTCGCTCTTCGGAGTTATGAGCACAATCCGCGAATCATCGTTTGTAAGAAGAAACGCTTGCTTTCACTTCGCAGATTTATGATTGTAGTTCCGATTCTAGGCGCTTCCACGACATTCATATTGATTGCTCAACTGTAAAAATGTAGAAGAAAAAAAAATGTTACTGTTAATAAATTTCAATAAATTTTTATTATCACTCATAATTAGTCCTTGAGATCATCTACTTAACATAGAAGATGAATTAAAACAAAAATGGAATAATCTTAATCAATTTTTATTATAGAACTTCAATTAAAATTTGTAAAAAAAAATCTATTAATTTTATAAAACCGATATGGAATTACGGATTACAATTGTGGGATCTGCTTTTTTTGACTGAAACCGCTGTATGATGTCAAATACAGCGGTTCCAGTCAAAAACGCTCAGAGCAATTGCCAATGCTCCCTGGTTCTCGGCTAACGAGTACATACATCAATACACTCACGGAACTCAGCAGCAAGTACCAACATCAGCAGGAGGATCATCCAAGCCAATTTTCCACTGAGCTTACACACATTGAGTCTCATCGGCGAAGATTGAAACGATTTAAACCACATGCTCTTCCTAATCGCTTTTAAGTTAGTGTTAGTGATGTTTAAATTGACAATAAGACTTATTTGCATGTATGTATTCGTGAGTTTTTCTTTTATAAGCATTCTGTGAAGTAACATAATCTGTAACATATTTATTTTTTCATTAATTAATCTAGAACTAGAGTTTGTTATCTGTTTTTTTCTTTTTATGCTTATAGATAGACTGCTTTGTAAAATAATAATATGCTGAAAATACATATATTATCAATCTTAATTAGTTTGTGAGATTATCTAACTATCATATATGAAAACTTTCAAAAATGCACTATTCCAACATTTATAATATTCATTTTTATTACTAATTTTTTTGAAAACTGCTTATAAAAAAACTATAGAAAGCGTAAATTTAATACAAAAAACTGTGAATTTTGTCCTATTATTAATTTGTGAAATTATCAACTTTACAAAACTGG